TCCGTTTTTAACGTGAGTAGGCTTAAAGTCACAAAAACAGCACCCTTTGCCAATGTCTGATACATACATGATGTGAAGCAAAACTCTCTGGGAAGACAATACCTGTAATTATTGTACCACGAGTAGAAGCCACGGCAATACCGCTAATCGGCTCTCAGTGAATTTGACAGAATCAGCTGTTTTGCTGACGTCACAGTCAAGATGACAGCAGTAGTGATGTGCTGAGTCAATACTTTTTTGTATCCAATACTCTCTATTCTCGGTTCCGAAACATTTAGGTCTCAAATAAAAGCGCACATAGGCCAAAAATATGGAAAAAACGGTTCAGGGGAGACTCGCCTATCAAAACTCGAATGTAGGACGCAATAATGCTTTTAATACTGATTCAAATGAAAGATTTATATATGTAGGTTCGAGGCCATAATACAGATAAACTCTTACTTGTTTGAAGCATTTTTGCTCCAGCTGAATCGGTCGATATCATTTTTGTAGGCCTGCGGGCAGATTCTGTAACCAGTTAGCGACAATTTTCAAATCGGTATCGGTTTTGTTGACGTATGATATGAAATATTTTGACGTCAACAAGTGTGATATCGATCCGAAACTTGGCGCTGCAATCGGCGCAATCTTTTATTCTATCATTCTTGGGTAGAAGCCATTTTGACGTTGCCCTCATGAGAAACAAACCTTTAAACTTCAACTTGTTTTCCTTTTAATTCCTATATTTCGTTACGCTTTGAATGTCATGTCGTTTTTTTTTTTTGAATGGTCGTTAATAACAAATTTTAATTAACAAATGAATTTGTGTAGTGTTGTGCGGTTCATATTTAGTGTATGTGTTAAAAATGCAATCCCTGAACGTTGTTTTTTATGTGGTGTTAAATATAATGCAGGTACCACTTATTTTTTTAACGTTCCTCAATGTCCGCGTAAGGAGCGTTGCGAAAGCAGAGCTGCAGCGAAATTCCTTGCTGTGTGCTAAACATTTTAAATCAGTAGATTTCATAAATGTACCGGGAGCTCCTGGAAAAGCACGGTTGATGCCAAGTGCTGTTCCTATGACACTTATGCCGGAATGTCCCTCCAACAACACAATATTTCATGATTCAATGATCGGATCTAAACCAAATTAGTATGAGACACTACCTTTCCGTTGCAAAAAGAATTATCGAAATCGGTTGACGCGGTCCAAAGTTATGCGGTAACATACATAAAAAAAAATAATAATAATAAAATAAAATAAAAAAAAATATTCCGACGAACTGATAACCTCCTCCTTTTTTGGAAGTCGGTTAAAAATAAACTTAAAATTTACTTAAAAACGTCAACCAGTGCAATGTAATTTTTTATTTTTCCTTACACACGCTCGTTTTTCTTTTTACTCTCCCGAAAACTTTGACATTTGTAGGTTTGGCGTCAAATTGGCTTCTACCTGTTTTTATTGTACCATGCTCTAAAATATTTGTATCATGGTTTTTGTTTTCGATATTCTTTAGTTCTGGGGTGGCAGCGGAAAAATTCGAAAAGTTAATTTTTCTGTATATTTTTGGACCCCCGTTATATATAAAGGGCAAATTTAATACAACATGTACAGACAATGTAACTTGTCTCCTATTCTGTTCTAATTTGATTTTGTTTTAATTTTCCAATTTCAGCTTACGAAGCCAACAAAAAGGAGCGGCGCAGGCGAAGTGTCGAATGTATTAAACTCATTACCGGAGATGCAATGACCAGGCCCAATCATGCATACCGGACTACGAAATGCAATTAGACTGTCGGTACGTCGAGCAGCCATCAATACAAGCAACAAGAACTACGCAGTGCGAGTAACGGCAGAGCGATGAGTTTGCTGTAATAACGATTTCCTAGTATTTCACAGCGCGCGGGGCTGTTAGAATACATACTTACATATGTATGTATGTAGTACGTATATCGTGTATTGTAGCCTAGGGTACTTCTTACCTAAATGTCAAACTTTGATCTGGCAAGGATGAAATCGATGCTGCTATGGTGATTCTGTGGAAACTTTCAGGGCATTTCAAAGTATTTTGGGATATGGACAACAATATAGCGTATGGGATTACATTGAAAAGCTACACTCTTTAGTTCGATTAAAATTCTGGTGGAGTAACAAACCTACGTTTTCGGTTATGCAATCGGGGGCGTAAGTGAAATACTGCACTGCTCTTAAGTATTCTTGCCATGAGTTTTGCAATCAGAAGTCCATTAAATTTATTAGTTGCTATTGTGTCATTTAGCAGAATTTCATCTTATGCGCGTATCTACAGGCGGTGGCGTAATTTATTTCTTTAACTGACTTTACCCTCTAGCAACAGTCAGTTTTCCGTTATGATGATTAAACCGGCTAACCGAGCGCACAAATAAATAACAACAAAAATAAATAAAGTACAACGTACAATAATTTAGGTAAAATGGCATCGTTGTCGGAAATTAACACCACAGCAGCAACGACACCCAACGACGCCATTGACCCAGCGCCGGAAGACAACTTCCGACCATACGATGCCGGCATTGGCGTCGCGTTAAATGGCAGTGAGGACAGTGAAGACAGCGACTGGTTGAACAACCTCATGGTGCGCATTTGGAGTCCACTTGAAAGTTCGAACACAAATGGGACCCAAACGACGAATGTGTCCTCAATGAATTCTTCTCCTACTGATAATCAAACCGTCGCATTAGCCGACAACGTCAGCAATACGTTTTATACATGGACATCCGCATCTAGTGGGTCGGACTCCTATTTGGATTCCAATGCATCCACAGTATTCGTTATCACTTGTAGCTCACCGCTGGCAACAGATACAAAGCCAACAAACGGAAATAAAATAGGAAATGAAGGGGGTTGCTTCTATGACGACAACGAAGCAAACACTGGTGTAATGCCTAATACTTACACCACGTCACCAAAAGTGCTGTCCGATGTTGACCTTCGAGCAACGGAAGCTACTGGTTTCGCGGCTGGTGAAGCAGAAGACGATATAAATTTTGCTTTGATCGATAGTGCGGAAACGGCGCTAGGCGGCGACACCGATTATGAGACTATAGAAGGCTTTAATGGTGGCATTGTAGGCGATGGAGTCGGGAGCAAGATTGAGGTGAAAGTGAATGGAGTTGATGAGGACACAGCCATGGTTCGGCATTCAATACCGTTCGAAAGTTACGGCTCAACCAGAAACGATTCGTATTTTCCTAGTTTTGATGGCGGTGGAACGGGCGCGTCGCCGATCGAAAATGGAATAAATGCAGTAGCAGGGGATAAGAGTGGAAGCACATTTATGCTGCTGCTCGAAGACTTCGGAGATTATTTTTATAATTTTAACGGAACCGGTAGTGGTGTCGGTGACGGTGTCGGGATTTCGGATACACAAGCCACATTAAGTACTTTGAATGTCACTGATTTAATTATTCGAACTAATTGCTCAAACATAACTGATTTATGTGTCGTATCAAGTGAAGAAGGTAAGCTAAGTATGTACATATATGCATGAGAACTTAGTTTTAGGCCGATTTCGTTTCTACCCTCTTTGCCCTCTACGCACAAACATTAAGAGAAGCGCGATGAGAGGGCAACATTTTTTATAGAAACGAAAATGTCATATTATATATATAAGGTATATTTAAGGGCACTACTTCATAAATATTTACAGGACAGATTCGTAATTACCCAGTGGGAAAATGTAATGTATAGTAATTGAAAAAATAATCAGTAATAATTTTCACATTCGAAAATGCATTTTTGCCCCAAGGCGACGTCCTAAGAAAAGTATTTTGTATTATCTAGTATCGAGAAATGAATGTGTTTTAATTTGAAATTTTTGGAACTGTTTGAATACATTAGAATGCTTATTACATAGTTAGCAGTAATATAATCGAGAACTCATAAGAAATACATTATATTATTTATCACGCATGTAATGTATTACTACTTTTCCGACTGGGTAAGTTTGGAAGTTTATCGTTTGCTTTTGATTTTACCTTCAATTACTCTTCTAATTTGTTTCGCTTTGGCAGCTGAATTCGATATCATTCGGATGAAAATTAGGGAAGACAACGATGTGTTGGTAATTGACATGGTGATTGAATCTGAATTACCTAAAAATTAAGTATATAATTCTCCAGGATTTTTTGTGGGAAATTGACTAATGCAGAGCATAATTTCTGGGCGAGAGCGTGAATAACGAAGGAATTACTAATGTCCCTTACGTGGAAAATCTTAATTTAATTTTTATTTTATTTTTTAAGTTAATTTTTCAAATATATTTGAAGCTAAAAGTCCTTCCCCAACCGCGGTTTCCATCGTACAAGAGGCGAAGTCGCTGGATTTCGTTGCAAAGCTCATACAGCTCATCGTTAGGTATTCGCCATCGCCAACGCACAAAGGCATGCAAATCTTCCGCAGAAACTTTCTATCGAAAACTCTAAGAACCCTCTAATTAGATGTTTTCATTGTCAGTGCTTCTCGCCGTACACCAGCGTTGGTATGATGAGTGACTTATAGAGTGTGATTTTTGTTCAGACCAAAGCAGCACTTGTTCGCAAGAGTGATCCTCCGTTAGATTTCAAGGCTGAGAATATTTTTGGCAATAATTCTGGTTTCTAAATAAACGAAGTCGTCTACGTTTTCGAAGTTATAACTGTCAATAGTGACGTAGGAGCCGAGGCGCGAATTCGAAGAAAGTTTGCTTAGTGAATCTACTTCATTTTATAGTTGCTCGCCTTCAAACCCAATCGGTTAACGGTTGATAAGACTGATGATATTGATATCACGGTGATTCCTGATTACTTTCATACCAAAAGTTCTCTTACCCCCTATTTTGTTCTGAGTGTGTTTATGGTAAGCGTAAGAAACTGTTTCTAGTTATGTACCTTGTTTAAACCAACACATAAAGCGCTTTGACCCAGTTCGCTGTGATTCAAAACGGAAGCATAAACCAACTTTCAATACGCTCAGAAATTCGAAAGTGTGTTGACTCGAATTTGCTTTCAAATCGCTTTTTTATTTCTCACATCGGTTAGAAAACAGGTATAAACACATCACTCATTTGACGCGAAGTGAAAAAAGGCTGGTTTTCTTTATACATCCCGTTGTGAATTTGAATTATTATTATAACAAATTTGAATTGTTGTTCGCTTCCATTTCGGTACACCGCGCAAAGTAATTATTTAAGAAATAACAATAACAAATTTTGGTTACTTTTGAATACGGTTCCAGCGAGTGCTCTATAACGACACAGGTATAAATAGGGATGCAAACGCCGCATGGATATTTTTGAAACATCGATAATATCGGTTCAAAATTCGATGTTTGCCATCGATGTTAACAATTTCCTAAAATCGCTAAATTGACGATATATCGATGCGAGTTACAGCGATGTTTTAACATCGACTTTAGTGTGACTCAGACTTGAATTCAACTTACCCAATGCTCCTAAAATTTTTTGATCGGCAATGAATTTTTTAACTTATTCTTTTGGGGAAAATTCAGAAATTGCGAGTGTACTCTTATCTTTCGATATTAAAAATGCTTACTTACGACGGCATGCATTTTTATTACATTTATAGGAAGGGTAAAGGAATGATAAATAAATACAGGGAAATATGTACATCCATATGTAAGTACTTTTTTAATTGAATTACAGACAGTTGTGTAATGTGACTAAAACCTAACAAATTTTGTAACATCAGAAACCATCGATATGTCGATGTTTTTCTGGCGATGTATTTTAGAATTTATGTTCATTTTTCCGATGCATCGAAACATTGATGTATCGATGTTACTCCTCAAAATTTGCTCCCTAGGTATAAATGCTTGAAAGAAATATGTGTTGAGGCAAATCAGCTTTTTGTTAATGCGGTTCTTGCGTAGGTATAAACAAGGTAATATTTAAAATCCCTCACTGGGCAGGTTTTGAAAAAAAAATAAAATAAACGTTTGGTGGTCATTTGCGCTTAAAATAACCTAACGAAAGTGTTATGTCCGTGAAGAAGTTCTCCAATTGTACAGCATCTCATAGCACGGTTAATCGCAAAACGGAGGCAGATGCAGGATTCCCATACAAAACAGGGCTAAATTACTTTACCATATCAATTCTAATTTGAACATACTTATGTAAATTTGTATGTATGCTTCAGGGATGTTGCGAATATTTGCATTCGCATACGTTATGCGAATGATTCGCATAATTTTAAACATTCGCATTCGACATTCGCATTCGTATCAAATGATACGAACGTTTTGCGAATGCGAATGTCTACATGGGCAGAGAGTCCACTCTAATATTGTTGAACTGGCTCTAAGTCTGTCTAGCCTGGGTGCGGACAATAACCGGCTTTTAGCTTCAGGCGCTAAACGGTTAAGTAGTATATCAAGCAACATTGACGGGGCTTAAACAAGAACTATTAAATGTCTTATAAGCAACCTAGAAATAATTTTAGATTCCTCCAGCGAAAGCGAAGGCTCGGATGTAGAATCTGGAAACATTAAAAAATGTGAAATTTAAACTCAATTGAAGGCCTATCTTAAAGAAAAACATGCTCATCTCGGTGAAAATCCTCTCGATTGGTGGAAAACCAAACCAAAATACGACAAATTGACAGATCTGGCCCGCAAATACTTGAGCGGTCCACCCGCCAGCGTTCCAAGTGAGCAATTGTTCAGTGCAGCCAGCTTCTAAGAAATCACCTCATGGGAGAAAAAATTACTTTTTTTGAAATATAATATGCCCCTTTTGAACTTTGACTACTAGATTAAAGCACTGTATAGGTTAAGCACTCGTTCAATGTTCTAATAATTTACAAAATTATTGACTTAAGTTGATTATAGCTTTTTTAATGATATTCCTAACATTCGCATTCGCATTCGCATTCCGAAAATTCGCATTCGTATTCGCGAATGTATTCAAATCTAATTCGATTGATTGAATGTTGATCTGTTGAACTAATGTAGTTGAGTTTTGTTCTGAAGCATGAAGGGGAACAGACATTTCTTTTTGTTATTTGTTCTGCATGCTACTACAGCAGTGATGGGCAGCGTTGGCAGAGCTCCATAAACATGTGCAAAACTATTGTACTACAGCGATGTCAAATTAGGTTTCTGCTGCGCAGCGGCATCTTCTTTTTTCACGAACTTCATCTTTCGGGTTGGTCCACACGCTTTTCGGGCTGTTTCGGTAATTAGAGCGTTAAAATAAGTTAATCTCTCCCAAGTGTCAAGATCGTGTCGACCCGTGCCAGAAGTGACCAGAGCGTGAGGAACGCAAAAAACCACTTTTCGTGACCGTAATCAACAAATCAGTTCTAAACAATGATTTTATGTGTATTTATCTTATATAGCTAATGATATTTGCAAATACCTACATTTCTGAAGCTTTAGTGCTGTCCATTTTTGTATTTTTCAAAATTTGCTATCGGATGTAAACAAACAACAGCGGTTGTTTCAAATTGACTTCTTGCACATTTCTGGTAGGCAAAAAAGTCCGGGCACGAACAAGAAGACATATACGATCCAAAAGTGGAAGGTATTCGCTCTCTATCACCCATTTTTCTAGCGTGAGGAATGCTTTCTGGGCTGATTTGGGCACCCGCGGGCTCGTGTGGAACAAACCTATTATGAAATAAGGAACATCTGAAGTTCAATGTATGCCACGCCAAGAAGCTTACAGGGCATGATACAAAAAAGAAGGTAGTTTCAATAAATAACTTTTTGACGGATACTGAGATTTTTGAAGCTTCATAATTTGTTAATGTTGCTAGCAGCGTTACCATATTGTTAACATTTAAAAATGAATTACGGAATATCGAGATGGGAATTTCTTTCACAGAAAAGGGGTGTAAATATTTTAGTCTTCTAGATGAAACGAAACATATGTATTGAAAATATGTACATACAAAGAATGCAATTTTACCTCGAAATGCAACGGATAAAGGCATACATATGTGCTTACGTTTTTATTTAATAAATTCAACAAACCATGAAGGCGTTATTTTTCTCATCTTTCTATTTTTATACCCGAGCGCACTTGTGCACAAGGGTATTATAACTTTGTTCACATAACGGTTGTTTGTAACAGGCAAAACGAATCGAGATAGATATAGACAAATGTATACATAAATGATCAGAATGAAAAGAGAAATCGATTAAGCGGTGACTGTCTGTCCGTCCGTCCGTCCGTCCGTCCGTCCGTCCGTCCGTCCGTCCGTCCGTCTGTGCACACGATAACTCGAGTAAAAATTGAGATATCTTAACGAAACTTGGTACGTGGACTTCTTTTGGGCATGGGACGGATGGTATTGAAAATGGGCGAAATCGGACAATATCCACGCCTACCTCCCATATAACGGTAATTTTCAGAAATACGAAAAGTGCGATATTTTAGTAACCACTGAAGATAATTCACTCAAAGTTGATATTTACAATGACGTTTAGACGAAAAATAAGAATATTAAAAAATTTTGGCAAATGGGCGTAGCCACGCCTACTTATGGTTACATGCGTATATCTTGGTAACCGCTGCACCAATTTTTTCCAAACTTGGCACAGTTGTTGGTCCTGCTACAACATACCAAATGGCCGAAAATTTTTAAAATCGGACAATAACCACGCCCACATCCCATATAACGGTAATTTAGAAAAATACGAAATCCTCGATAAATCAGTAAATATTAAAGCTAATTTATTCAAAATTGATGCTTGCAACAATTTTTTTACCAAGAAATACGCTTATGATACAATTTTGGAAAATGGGCGTGGCACCGCCCACTTATGATCACATATATGTATCTCGCTAACCGTTCTAGAAATTTGAACCAAACTCGGTATGGTTATTGTGCTTGCCACATAAAGGCAAAACGTTGAAAATTATTGAAATCGGACTAAATTACGACCGCTTTTCATATAACGGTATATTTCAGTAATGCTTGAAACTTCAATATTTCGAAATTTAAGGACGCTAATTTATTTAAAATTTATACACCCCGGCTTATCGTGTAGCGGTAGTTTTCGGAAAGGTGGAAAACATATATTTAATAATTGCGCCGGGTATTTAATGTTCGGCTCCGCCCGAACTTAGACTTTCTTACTTGTTTTATTTAGTTTTATTCTCTTTTAACTTTAGATTTAAAGTTCTTTTATCGAGAGTTACATTTGAATTGTACAATAAATTAAAAAAAAAATCGGCTTTGTTAACTTTTCACCATCAATGTTGAGAACATATATACAGATATTTTAGAAGGCTTTCCTTGCTCACGCCGCAGGCGGCCATTTTTGTCTCACAAAAGGAAGCCGTGGAAATTTTAAAAATTTTGTACCGTCTTCCATGCAGTGGTATTTTGTATTTTTGCAGCTTCCAAATGCGCAACTAATTTTTGTTTTTGTTATTTTAACAAATAATTTTATTTTTTGCTTTGCCGACCAAATTTTTTCCGACTAAAATTTTATTATAATTTTCAAACTGGTAGCTTGATTTTGATGAAAATGTCAAAATCTCAGCAAAAGTCAAATGGATACCATGGCTGCTAATGTCATTAAGTGAAACTACCTTCTTTTTCCTACCATGTTACAGGGAGCATGTGCCGATATCGAAGCAAGCAGCATTTTGAAGTAAAAAAAACAGTTGTTAAACGAAATACATAACGTACAGTGTTTCCGTGGAAACACAATGCCAGCGAACGGCGAACTCACCACAGGGAAGTTCCCGCTGTCAAAATTAGAACACCCGCCAGCATATGAAATTGAACACAGCCAAAGCGAAATGCGAAGTTTGTTCGGCGGCGTTTCGTGGCGATAGATTTATTGCGGAGCACCGAAATTGCGCATATGGAAACTGTGCATTTAGACATTATTGCGGGGGCACCGAAATTGCGCATATGGAAACTTCGCCGTTCGCCGGGTATTGTGTTTCAAGCATTAGGAAAGCCTGCCTCAGCGAATACAGCTGATACTATTTTGTCGCCTTTATAATTTGGGTGACCATATTTAGAAAAAACCAAACCATATTTAGAAATGAGGAAATGATAACAAATATAAATGGAGAACAAAGAGAAATTATTATAAAATATTTTATTTCAAGCCAGATTTAACGAATCCACAACTTTCAAACAACAAAAATAATTCGTGTTTATGTTCTTTTCTTTCAAAACTTTGAAAAACAAAAATAAATACGGTAAGTTTTGGCACGTACAGCTACTATCGCCCAGTAGAGCGAGCGAACTTCGCATTTCGCTTTGCCTGTGTTCAGTTCCATATGCTTGTGGGTGTTCTAATTTTGACAGCGCGAATTTCGCTATGCTGAGTTCGCCGTCATTGTATTTCAGCTATGAAGCTGGCAAATGTACTTTTTTTATTTTTGAGCCGTGATAGCTGAGTATAAATATAGAAGAGAATGGAGAGCAATATGGGGCTTGTTGATGCTCTTTAAACACCAACGTTTGAAAGGCAAACGGTCTAGCAATGCATGGTATTGTTGATCAACATAATACTTTAATTAAACATACTTATTATTAAAATTTCATTTGAAAACATTATGGTACAAATATGTCACTTTAAAACTTGAATCATAGAAATGTTTGGTTGACATTCATAAAAAGGAAGAAATTATCAATTCGTCGAGTTCTATATGTTCGGGAATAATGCTTTAAACACAATACCCGGCGCACGGCGAAGTTCCCGAATTGGGCGAAGCCGTCGTTCACCGTTCGCCCTGCTTTTTCGCCTACTTTAATTAATTTAGGTGACCATATTTGAAAAATTAATCCATATTTAATATATATATATTTAAATATAAAAACATATAAGGCAAGGGGGAGTTATTATAATTATTTTATTTTAAGCCAGATTTAACGAATCGATCACTGTATTTTTCAACCAACACAAATAATTCGTGTTATATGTTATTTTCTTCTAAATCCGCCGAACAAACTTCGCATTTCGCTTCGGCTGTGTTAAATTTCATATGCCGGCGGGTGTGCTAATTTTGACATTTGCATTGTGTTTCCTCGGTAACTTATTGGTTTGTGATTCTCATACAAACGGTCGTGGTGTGATTATAATTACCACGTTAGCTTAACTACAGAATTTTCTGTTGTACAAAGATTGAAACTTGGTTTTATATGGTTTTTGTTAAAGAATAAAGCAAATAAATTGTCAAATATTGTCAGTATGTAAGTGTTGTATAGTTATGATAAGCACTATACTACTTTGTTAAGAGACAGTCGAAGTCGATCAGTTTCAATCGGATGCTCCAATGGACAAATTTTCCGACGATGTTGCCAAAAATCTATTGTTTTCACTGTGGCACTGAAATCAGTCTCCCTTTTGCTCCTTTACATGGCAGCTGTGTTAGACGTCGCAAGGCGTCACTTTTTTCTTTACTAACCCAGTCCACTCCATAATTGGGATGACGGTGAGGTCGGCTTTATTTCTTTTATAGGCATCAACCAACCGCTCAAAAGCAACTTCCCCACTAAGGATTGGGACATATCCAAAAAACATAGTCCATCGAGATGCATCGGAGGTTGGAGGCCGTACCTCCGAGTGAAAAAGCCGAATATGTTCGAGTGGCCTCACTAAAGCTCCCTCTTTTCCGGCCGTGACTCAAAGACTCTTCGCAGATTGGTTACCACACTCGTGCATAGGCTGTTCTCTTGTCTATAGTGCGGTAACGTGGACTGAAGAGTAGGAATTGAATGATGTCGAGCAATCGTAGCTGCATACCCAGAGGCCCCATTTTCTATATTTAATTTGTTTTTTTATTTTTATTTGTATCGAAAGTTACCATTATTAATATTTGTTTTTTATGTAACACTAAATACAAATGAGACACATTTGTAGGGAAATGCTCTGTCCATTTTAAAACAACAGTATTCCTAAAAGTTATATAAATAAATATGTATCTCGAACGATTTCTCATGTTTTGTACTCTTTGTTTTTTTGTTTTCATTTCAGTTCTTCCAAATTATTGGGCGCTTTTGTTAATGGTGTTTCCTTTGGTGACATTGTTTGGCAATATTTTAGTTATTCTATCAGTGTGCCGCGAACGATCTCTACAAACGGTTACAAATTATTTTATTGTGTCATTAGCGATAGCCGATCTATTAGTTGCTGTAGTGGTGATGCCGTTTGCGGTTTATGTTCTGGTAAGTCGTGAACACTGCTTTTATTTAAATACATACAATGTACATACATACGTACGTTAAATGTTCATTAGGCCGTGTCACAAAACCGGGATTTAATATATGACTCTGCCAGTTAAAAATATAACAGAAACTAAAAACTCTTCAGTGTGTAGTTTTTAGTCAATTTTAAAGGTAGTTCAAACTAAAACACCAAATCTGGCTGGGTTATACCGAGGTTCAACTAACAGCTGCTGTGTTGTTTATTTACTAGGGTTAATAGGGACCTTCACCCATCAGTTTAATGGATGAAATCTACTTTGTATGAAATTTAGCGTGCTAGAAATTATTTTGCGAGGGGATTGGCTGGAAGAGTCCTGGCCAGGATTAAATATACAAACATTTTTATATTTTTTTTTTTTTAATTTTGTACTCATTTTTAATGAAGAAATTATATACCAATCGGAAGCATAAAGCCAATAAAATGTGTTAAATAGATGCGTGAAAATTACTAGTATTACCTACCAGTTTATACCTGCCAATCCGATAGGTATGCCAGGAAAAAAATAGACAACCCAACGTTTTCACATTCTATAGGCTTCATACTTTCGATTGGTATATAATTTGTTCATTAAACAAATGAGTACAAAATTAAAAAAATTATAAAAATGTTGGAATATTTAATTAAAAATATCCTGGCCAGGATTTTTTCGGCCAACCCACTCGCGAATATTTATTTATTCACTCGTTATATTTCACACAAAATAGATTTAATCCATTAAACGGATGGATGAAGGTCCTGCCCTTTTCGGATCTTAGACTAATATACTATGTGTGAACATATTTTGAAATACTGTTGGCATTAATGGATCGATTTTTTATTAAATTATTTAATTTTATTAAATTTATTCAGATTAGAGTTAATCACGAATAAATTATTTTTAATTAAACAAGTCATCGTAATCGTGATTAAGGAACAAATTTTTACTCAATAACTATTAATTTGATTAAGCAGAATCGGTGACGAATTAGTTTATACTGGAATTGTCTTGTGCAATCAAGGTGGGTTGATCAGGTTTGATTAAATCGATTTCCCTCGTCATTGTAAGGTATTTGGTATGAATTTTTATTGTGATCTGTTATAAACAAACGTCGTGAGAACTTGGTTTTAATATATCATCGCCTCTCATAAACAATTTTCACTTTCGAGTTGCATCCCTTAATAGGGATAAAACGATACCATGGTAGTATCGATACCTGTACTTGGAAGTAGTATCGAAAGAAAGTATCGATACCTAGTAAGTATCGGGCTAAAAGTATCGATACCTACTTATATCGATATTTTTACCTATATAAGAATTACAGCCGTATTCTAACAAAGTCACAAACTTGAGCTCATCACTGCTGTGATTTCTACTGCGCCTCAAAGCTTGCCGCTGCAAAAAATATGCCGCTACAATACAAATTTTTAAATTTTTGTGTATTTTTCAGCACTCAAAATCGAATTTTTTGTGACACATTTCTCGGCGCACTAGAAATCACAACAGTGATGAGCTAAGTTTTGTGACTCTGTTAGAATAGAGGGTTTAGTTGCGTTCCCTAACTCCTAAGAAGAAATTGCGAGAATTTACAGGAATTTACCAGAAAGCGTTCCCGTACTCGGTTCTCTGGCAAAGTAGAGGAAAAGTGGGAGAGTAAAATCGGTCGTCTCTTTGTCAGAAGTTGCAAGGTTTTACCCAAACAATTTTTGCTGGTAAAATCTTGTAAGTGTCAAACCACCAGCCATTCAAACGATTGAAAATTGAATAAACAAAAACAAAAGTACATACATCTGTATTAAATATATCGTAGTGAAGAAATATAAAGGTCTGTAAGTATTTTTGTAATTTTCTAGTATATTTGCGTATAATTTAGCAGATCGCCAAATGATAAAAAAAAACGTCATGTAAACAAAAAATGGCGTGAATTTTGGCAAAATAACTTATGTGACTATAATTTTTGATTTTAGACGAATTGCAGATACTTAAACTTTTTAATCAAAACTTTAAGGTTTAAAACATGATTTACTTTTAGGATGGCCTCCAAAAAACCAGAAAAAAGTGCAAAGTCCAACAAGTTGTTTTTTAAAAAGTCCCCAAAATATTGTTAACAGAATTCGTTTCTTTTGCATGTACGTATTTTATTTGTAATACTTAATATTTATTTTGTACAAAGAGAAAGCGATTGAGATAAAAAACAATTATTTAATAATTTATTTCATACAAATGAATTAATTAATAAAAGTCTTCTGTATTATAACACTGTTCTACAGCAGTTTTGCAAAGTAACAGTGGTATATTTCTAAAAGAAATAATTATGTTGATAATAGAGTGAAAAGTTGCTAAGTCCATTTGTAGAAAATTTAAAGGGGAGGAAAAAACTTTTGAAATCATTTCCTTCAAGATTTTTGCAGAAGGTTCCATTGCAAATTAAAAGATTTAGCATTCTTTGTGAGCTAATTGATTTTTCTATGCCTCTTTTGGACTTAGTAAATTTGCCTCTAATCTATATATATAAAAATTAAATGTTTTTCGTATGACCGCGATGCCTGACCAAACGGCTGAACCAATTTCAATCCTGTGAAAAGCACATTTTTGGACCTTCTGTGTGGAAGGTTTTTTGATTTAAAAAAATTTTAAATTTTTTGTTGTTGCTGCCGAAAAATGAAGAAAGCTGAGACGTCACGATTTCACAATTTCATACAGTTTTCTGTACATTGAATGTCACTAAACTACTTAACGGCTAGACCGATTTGGTTCATATTTGGAACATATATCAGTACCTTGAAAAGAAATATTTCTACAAAAAATTTGCTCGCTAGGTTGCGCTGGGGTCAGAATATTCCTAAAAATTACATTTACTTGCTGATTTGGCTCATATTTAGAAAACAATTTAGTCAATTGAAAAGAAATATTTGGACTTGAAACTTACACGATAGGTGGCCCTGTGGCCGAGACATCCCCAAAAATTATTTTACGCTAAGAGAAGGATATCTACTATATATTTGTATGTATGTATGTGCCAGGTTGCAGTCTAAACGGACGGACAGAATCGAACAAAATTTTGACAGAGCATTGCCATGACACCTGGGCCTATAATAGGGTGAAAAAATTGGGATCCGACAAGGGGGCGTCGCACATCCCATAGGTGTGGAATTTTTTATCAGCCATAACTTCGGAACCATAAGTCCCACGAACTTAATTTTGGTATGCAGACATTTCAATGGTAGGTGCTTATAGGAGGGTATATAAAAACGAGTTTGTAAAAGGGGGCCTGGCAAATCCCAAAGGCGTGGAATTTTGTATCAGCTATAACTTCGGAACCACAAGTCACACAAACTTGGAATTTGGTATACAGACATATCAATGGTAGGTGATTATACGAGGGTATAAGGGGCGTGGCACATCCCATAGGTGTGGAACCTTTATCAGCTATAACTTCGGAACCACAGTTCACACGAACTTGAAATTTGGTATGCAGACATATCAATGGTAGGTGATTATACGAGGGTATATATAAACGAGTTTGTGAAAGGGAGCGTTGCACATCCCATAGGCGTGGAATTTTTTATCAGCCATAACTCCGGAACCATAAGTCCCACGAACTTTAAATTTGGTACGCAGAAATATCAATGGTAGGCGCTTATAGGAGGGTATATATAAATTAGGTTGAAAAGGGGGCGTGGCACATCCCATAGGTGTGGAATCTTTATCAGCTATAACTTCGGAACCACAAGTCACACGAACTTGAAATTTGGTATGCAGACATATCAATGGTAGGTGAATATACGTGGGTATATATAAACGAGTTTGTGAAAGGGGGCGTCGCACATCCCATAGGCGTGGAATTTTTTATCAGGCATAACTTCGGAACCATAAGTCCCACGAACTTAAAATTTGGTATGCAGACATTTCAATGGCAGGTGCTTATAGGAGGGTATATATAAACGAGTTTGTAAAAGGGGGCGTGGCATATCCCATAGGCGTGGAATTTTT